TGTCTGTGTCTCTTGCGTGGGGATGCCGCCCGTGCTCCTCCTTCTGCCCTTGGAGTCCCACCCTCACTGCCACCAACGCCACCACCAGGAGAGCCCCTACCGTCGCCTCCTCCACTTGCTGACACTAAACCTTCCCGTCCACTACTTGCTAGACCAAGCATTTTTGTTGGTGGAGAGACGGAGCGTAAGGGTTTATGAGCCTCGAGGGGCGGGGAGGTTCTAAATTGGACGGGTGGGCGTGACCCAGTGGTCAACACACAAACTTCCTCGTCACTGCTTCCTGCAAGCCAACCAGAAAAAGCCAAAATGATTAATACACTGTTTGTTATCTACAATATACTGCATGATACTACACCATACCTTAACCATACTAAAATGATATAGATCTTAAAAATAATAGTTCTTAGGGAGGTGTTTATGATCTTCCTACTTTATTCATAGCAAGTAACATCAAAATATATGATACGCAAAACATACTATTTGGAAAATCATTAAAAAAAAATTAATTAACAGATATAAAATATAAAATATAAATCTTTCAAGGATGTAAGAGAGACACTTGCAGATTATCTGTTAAAATGGATAGTGCCACATATATACAAGCCACAGAAAAAAAATATGTTAATCCTTAACCTGAAGTGTAAACATAATATATGTTCAGAAAGAATATCCAAATTCTTGTGTTTTTCTTGTCAAAACTAGTAATTCCATAAAGCATTTCTACAGAGATATGCTAAGCCCATTTTCATTTACAGTGTGTGTAAGCAGTCCTATGAAATAAAAGAGGGTTGCTTAATATTTGATATGTACAGTTTTTTTCCATATCAACAAAAGTGGTACACTGCCAAACGCACACCTACTACGAAAAAGTTATCAAGTGATAACAGAATTACCAAATAAGCACATCATAATGTTACACTTATGTAATAATATGTGTTTCGAGGCTATGTAAATCATTATCCTCCTTCCTATTACTGCAGTACCAGTATTTGTGCTGGTACATGAAATTAATGCCTTTTTTAAATTAAAAGGTAAATGTCTTTCCTGAATATGGTTGCCATTTATCATATAACCAATGAGTGTGACTTTTATCATACTTCTTTAAATACAATAATATAATCATATTCATGGAACATGCTTGCATATCATATGGGTGATAGCAAACAGTCTGCCATTTATTACACCCAACTGTGAAAAACTAAATGAACACGGCTGGCTGACTGACATTTCAGATATTGCGGTTTGTTGCATGTTCTGCAATGCATCAATTGTTAGCCAATAAACAACATTGACCTTTAAAGTTTATTTCCATGATATAATCACCATGTGCTCATGGGAAATAGTCAATGGTTGTCCATATTCCATTGGGAACAAATACACATAAAAACAAAAATAAATTACAGCAAACATTTTATCCAACTCCAAACTAATATGGAAAGGATCTTTTGCTTTAATTTTACTAAGACAAAATCAAACTGCTTTACTCTCTTATCATGGACATATGGCATTATTACATTATCTCTGAATTACTAATACCTATATGGTATAATACTACAGGCTCAAGATAATTGATGAGATAAAGTTTACGATCTCATACAACCATAACTATCTTTTTCCACGAAAAATAGCTTGGTTTTTACAATTATTATGCCAGCATAATGAAAAGTTCAAGCTCTTTTTCTACAGAAGCAGCTATATCATTTTATTTTACTTAAAGTGGCCCAGAAAACAAACCCTCCTCCATACAAAAAAAGCTGTAGTGTTTGTGTTGCATATTATAATCACACCGTTTTTCTGTATGATCATGTTAACCCAATGCCACAGGCTGGTTACCTGATACAAAAGCCCTCTCTCCAGGGCTGTATTCATAGTGGCTCAGGCCCCACTGCCGGGGGATCCTGTCAGCACCAAAATGTGCACGGCATGACTGTACATGCCCCCGGAAAACGGGACCAACACCATGGCCCAAATGCACATGCCACCAAGAATATAGTCCAGGCATGCCAAGGCATGTAGGTACATGTGGTAAAGGCTTATAGGCCAGGCGCAAGCAAACACTTGTGTGCAGAGACAAGATGCTGTGCTTCAGCTTTGCTATATTATTTTCTCTTTTTATGCAAGATCGATTTTAGAATAAACTGTGTTCTTTGCTCAGACTCCAAGTAGTCTGTATCTCAGTGCCAGAATAATAATATGTAGTAATATTTAACATTTTGTTATTTGTGGTGTTTTAAGAGTTTCTTCATAATATTCAATTTTCTGAAAAACAACCTGAGCCACCAGTCACGGTAGCCAGGAATAGGTTGCTGTGCATAGAAAGGGCATCCTCCATGAAGTCAGCAATCTCCCAGTCATGGCTCATGGACACTACATTCCCTTCATCCTATCCTTACGCCGAAATGCTCATGATCAGCCCAGAGCCAAGTTTTCCTATGAGAGCATATTCACCCCCTCCCCCCCTCAAGCCAAATTATTTTAATGACATGATGGTGTTGTTGTAAAAAAATGTATAACATACGGCACATTCTGGTCAAGATTTCATTTAAATGAAGCATATATATTATTTCTTTCCTTTCCTACAAGTATAATATGAAAAGAAATAAAAGAAACCAAAATTAGAGGAAAAAAATATGTATCCTATAGCTATGAAATAAAATGCTCAGGGTAGTGTCTCTGCAAGCACTAATACTAATTAACCCCTTGATGATGGATGAAGAAAGTTTGCTACATCAAGCCAAATCACTGGCGTACCATGGCAGCATACAGCCGCACACCACAGATCGAATGGTTTGTTTTGACATGACCCGTTGGGAAGTGGCTAACACATGCTATATACTGTTTTTTATTAGTTTACATCTGCTACAAACCAAAGAAATTAATATATTGCTTCAAAAAATATCACATACAGAGGAAGAGGTTTGATTATAAACGGGTTTGATTATAAGATAGCAACATAATGGAAGCTGGGCCTGGTTTCTTGGTGAATTCAGCATATGGTGATTATAAAAGGTTTAAGAAAAATCTTCATACTGCTTCTCATATTTTCCTATACAAACACATTTTCTGTATGAAAGAATTTCCCTTTTAAATGATATGTTACACAAGGGAACAGGGTGGTGATACCCTGGGGAGGGGCACAGCATGTTCCTCTCCCTTAGCTTCATTAGCTTGTTTACTTAATATTAGATGATGAACTGTTCAAGAATATTGAATACAAAGGTAAACACCGAGTTATCAAAGGTGCATCGGAGAAATATCATAGAACCTTTCTTTTTGAAAGATTTGGAAGCATGTTCCACTACATGTATGAAACTAAATGAGATGTACATATATATAAGTGTATATGTGTGTATGTGTGTGTAGATAGTCTATCTTAAAAGCATGGCCAACTTGGTGCTATAAAGAATAAAAACTGAATAGAAAATAATTTCTGTTGTCAAAATCTGTTGGGAACTTTGACGTCCTTCACATACCTGAGTCTGTAAGGGAGAGCCGGGCTACTTGAGACCACTTGCGCTTTTCCGGGGGCCCTGTTTCTCGGGACCACGAACATGTCAGTGTTTCCAGCTCTTCTTCTGACGAGTGATGTTCTACGGGATCACAGGCATCACAGTCACTTACAAACGCAGAGTCCAGGAAAGATTCAATAGGGGACTCTAAGGCAGGGGATTCTCTAGGTGGGTCTGGGGTTCGAAGAGATGGGTGGGGGTGACGGGGTGTCCGTGCCCTCCGACCAGGATGTGGGTGATGACTGTGGTGAAGGTGATGATGATGGTGGTGATGGAGATGTTGTGGGTGGTGATAGGAAGAGGGTACTGATGAGGAAGGGATGGTGGATGGTGGGGGCATGTCAGGAGCATCTCCAGCCATTGGGAGGTCATCACAGGTGAGAGTGTCCGTGCTGGTCTGGCTGGTGGGGCGCGATCTCACACTACACCCACTGGACACCTCACTCGACATCTCGCTGCCTGGAATGTAAAAAGCACCATGAGACCTGGGAGGAAAAATGTTCAGCTACATCTTTTATTCAGTATACACTTTTAATAGTGAACCATGTAAAAATATGACACAGAGGGAGTATATCAATTCCACTCTCTGCAGAATAATTATTCATAAGTAAATCATCAATATTAAATATTAGATATCTATTTTTAAACATTAGAGCATATTAATTAATTACAAAGAAGCAAAGGGATTTATGCATGATCATGCAAAAATCATATACATGCAAATAAAAAAACATACAACTATTACATACTCTTAACTAACCACATTTAATTATCTCTATAATATCAATTTTGTATACATAATTAGCTTCTTTTGGGGTAAGGTTTTTAACAGGAGATAGCCTTACTTTGAAGTTTAGGATTTTATAGATATACAATTCTTTAAGGAATTTCAATATAGTTAGTCAGATAAAATTAAATCCGAATATCTTCCTATCATAATGATATGATTCATGTTCCTCTGAAAATTCACTGTATAACATATTTGCATCAAAATTCATGATAATTAGAAATTAACAACTTTCATTATCAGTATTATTTGTGTCAAATCACTTTATTCCATCCTTTATTCTCTATGTACTTTCCATATAGCCACAATAGATAAATAAATATGAATAAATATATATATATATATATATATATATATATATATATATATATATATATATATACATACATACATACATACATACATACATACATACATACATATATATATATATATATATATATATATATATATATATATATATATAAACACATATATATGTACATACATAGATATATACATACATATATACATATACATATATACATATATATGTATTCTAGAAATAAACATAATTTATATATATTTACATATATTTATATATATATATATATATATATATATATATATATATATATATATATATATATATCAATTCATATCATATCAACATCTTAATAGCTCTTACTTGATGTAATGAATCAGATCATAATGTAGGACTTTTACGTATAATTCAACAAGTTTACATAAGACCTGAACATAACATGCATACTACGAAGCCCATCATGTTATGTATCAAAATGAAATAACACGAAATGACAGCAGGACGAGAGGCAAATAAGGTTATCGGTATGCCTCGTTTACATGATGTATACATTGAATCATACACGTGCAGGGAAGCTGGTAGGTATTTGAGTGTAACATAGTAATGAATGTGTTACACTGAAGGATTTTGGCTGTGGTTTCACTAACTTTGTTTCATCATCTTGGAAATTTGCTTGTTATTACTGTTTAATTATAATCCCTCTTGAAAACCTACTTTAGTGTTTGTAGTGATCGGCTGTAGTTTTTTTTTATAAAATCTAAATTCATAAAGAAAGAGTAAGTACACAAATAGTTTGAGGATTAGCACTTAACAAACAGACTGCCAGTGTTTTAAAAAGTTGTGAGCTGTTATAGATACTGTAAGGCTCTTATCCATTTCATTTAACAAACACTTGTTATATATTCCAAGTTTTCCTTCTTGCTAACTTAAAGAGGCCCAAAATACAAAAGAAATCGCAAGAAAGCCTGGTACGGGTTATTGCACTTAATGTTGCTGATTACATTTTAACGCCAGTTTGGATGCACCTTTACCCAGAGGAGCAAAATCATAATGCAGCCAATATGGGAGGATAAATGGCCAAAGTGGCTCAGAGACCAGGGTAAGTCTGTGTAGTGAAACCACGGCTTTAATAGCAATTTGGAATCTACTCCTGGGAGCCAAAGTTCTGAATTATGCTGGACAAGATACCAGACAAGGACAGTACTTTACCTCTATACCACAATGTGTGATTTTCAACTTCAATATTTCTTTTCTTACAAGTGTTCACCATAGACTGGTATTTATATAATTTCTAATCTAATGTCTATTATCTTTATTTTCTAAAAACTGTACTCTTCTTTTCCAATGCTGTTTAACTGCCATCAACATGAGGCCACCAAAGCCCAACTTTTAAGAACTTACTTATTTCAGGGAGCTAGTGATCATGCATCTCCTTTATAACGTTATCAGCCAAGAAGAGTGTGACACAATCGGATATTTAGCCCCTGAGTTAAAGTAACAATAAAGCTCATCATCCAGTCTTGGGTACGAGGATAATGGACCTTACTGAGCATCTAACAAAGGTTCACAAACACCGATCACTTCACTGTGGAAGGAGTAGGTTCTGCTCATGACCAGTAATGTTGCAGAGGGGGTTCTTGGTGCGGGATCATGGTTGCGGGAAAGATGGTTGGCAGGATGTGTTTTCAGGGTTCACATTGAGCATGACATACCGGGCTCAGGGTCGTCGTAAGGCTGCTCGTCATCAGACTCGGTGCCAGAGTCGCGGTCCTCACTGCCAAC